AGAGAGAGAGAGAGAGAGAGAGAGAGAGAGAGAGAGAGAGAGAGAGAGAGAGAGAGAGAGAGAGAGAGAGAGAGAGAGAGAAGGTCTGGACTCCCATTGTGGTGCAAGGAAGCCGCTGCTGGTGAAGCAACAGAGCTTGTGGGTGACTGACTTCACGCTTTTCTTCTTTTCCCTCCATCCCAGCAGAACGACGTGTTGCCATAATCCTCGTCGATTGAGCAAAGAAAACCTTCAAAAAGTGACGAGAAACGCAGAGGAGGAAGGAGGTAGGACGAGGGAGGAGGAAGGAGGAGGCAGTTGATGCTCAGCGGAAAAAGGAATGACACCCTATGTCATCTTCACCCCCGAATGAGGTGTGGTCACTAAAGCTGTATCTGGCACAAGTTTCAGGGCAGATACAGGTCAAATGACCATGCTTTCTATTCCAATTGGGACAGGAAGGCACAGATAGTAGGAGGAGGACATGTGCACTGCAGCATATGGCCGCTTGGGGCATACACTAGGAATTCCAGGGATGTATCTGGCCAGAGTGACGGTCAGATTCAGTCAAACTTGTCCTGATGAGGGTATGCTGTGAGACTGCAGGGGAGGATGAAGGATGAGAGAAGGGAGACAGTCTTGACGCGGAGTTAAACGTGAGTTTTATGCTTCCTGAGGATGTATCTTTTTAGAATTGCGACCAGATTCAGACAAACTTGCCCGTATCGGAGGCCGGTCCAGGCCCAAGGCCGGACCTTTAGACCGGAGACGCCACTGTAGGCCCACCGGATGGCCTTTAGGCCACAATTAGGACCAGACCAGACGGGCAGGCGCAAACGACATTACCGTTGGGCCTGGCGGCGCTCTTGAGGCTGCTGCCCGCCGGTCTGATTTGAATCGTCACTTTTGACGATTCAGATCACGGCTCGGCCTCGCAGCATAGAGGCCAGCCTTTCCACACCAGTACTTAGGTACCAGGAGGCCGCCTGTTCGGGCATTCGCGAGCAGCAGCAGTTCGGAGGAGCGCTGTGCTATTTCTGTTTAGAGCGACGCGCTACAGCAGCAGCGCGAGGTTAGCGCTAGGCTGCAGTTCGGGATAGAGAGGGAGCGAGATACTTACCCGGTACTTACCTGTGGCGCCATAGCTTCGGCGGACTGCAGGAGACTTCAAGGCGCCACCTTGCATCCTGCAGGTAAGGCTCGGGCCAGGACAGGGTAGTGAGGACTCTCCTCCTCCCTACCTCGCCATCTCTCCCTCCTCCTCTGCTATCTCCTCTTCTTCCTCTTCTCATTCTTCTTCTTCTTCTTCAAACTCTTCTTCTTCTTCTTTTTCTTCAGATTCATTCTTCATCTTCTTCTTACTCAGATTGGAGACTTAGATACGAGTTGGACGGAGATCAGTGTTGGGACTTCGGTGGTAAGAGGCTGTGATACTTGCCGGATTCGAGACTTGGAGATTGTTGGGATTGATACTCGGCGGCATCACAGATTGGACACCGGTTACGTTAGGACTCTGTATCTCCGACATTGGTGACTTATTGTCCGCGACATTCTGATCTTGTTTGATGACATTTTGGACTACCATATCGGTGACCTACTGGACTCTATTTCGGTGACATCTGGCGCTGCCTACATCTCCCACCTCCTTCGTCTCTCCTCCCACCTTTCATCTGTGTACGGTTGTACGGGGCCTGAGCATCGTCTGTGATTGGCTCAGACCTCACCATCTCACGATTGTTTGTGTGTCGAGTGATATCTGTACGAGTTCAGTCTATGTGAGTCAGTCCATTTATCAGACTTCCGCTGCATACATGCTCATCCTATATTGGTTGATCTTTGGTTCTGCCCATACTTGTTGAAGTATTCACGAGTATGCAACAGACACTCAGAATGAAAGTCAGTTTTTTGCTCCTCTGAGAATGTACCTGACCACATTTCCGGTTAAATTCAGTCACACTTGTCTTATGGGTTATGCTCTCGGCCCTGCAGAGAGGTGAAGGATGGGAGAAGGGAGAGTCTGAGAGACTTTGCCAGTTCCAAACTGGTCAGGCTGTCAGAGTGCAGCGAAGGTGGAGAATGGGAGAAGAGAGAGAGATACTTACTCAGCTTCAAAGCACAAACAATAGCCAGATTTTCTTTCGTGCAATTTGCCGCTCGGCTGACGATGAGATTTCCCACTCCTATTGCTTCAGGGAGCTCTTCCGCGAATTCCTCATCGCCGGCTGCAGTCCACAAAAGTATAAGGGTTAGCAAAACCGATCACTCGTCTGGAAAAAGATAAAGAACTTTAAAGAAGGGAAGAAAAAGAAAACAATGTTTTTCGAAAAGTCAGCGTTTGAAGTGAAACGGGGCGGCCTGAATGTCAAAACAACTGCCCCCCCGCCCCCCGCCCCCCCCCCAAAAAAAAAAAAAAGGAAAACTGTCTTTTGTTCTTGTTTTGAAAACTTTGTTGGACTTTGATCAACTTTACTGAAGTTTGAACGCGAACAGTGTTTGCAGCTTTGCATGCCCAAGCAGCCCAACCACACACACACACACAGACACTCCTCACGCACACACACACACTCCTCACACACACTCCTCACACACACACACACACACACACACACACACAC